AGCATGAACCCCAGCTCTGGATCGCACTGTATGTCACAATGCACCTGGACTTCCCTCTTAAGAATAAAGAGACAGATTTGCTAAAATTCAATTTACTACTGAAACAAAACAAACAAACAAAAAAAAGTTAAAACTACAGTGAGATGTACCAACACCTAAAAATGTGGAAAAAAAAAAAATCTGAGTTAGTTTAGCATTAGCATTTTGGTTTTAAGGCACTTACAATCATAAATGGTCATGCATAAAGTAATGTAAAAAAAAACATAAATAATGAGAATTAATTTAGAAAGACGTGCCAATATTTAGCAGGCATTATATATTTAACTACTCCTATTCTCTGTTCTAGTCACTCCTCAACGTCTGGAGCACGTGGTCCAGTGCTAGGCTCCCCATTACACAGAGAGAAATGGACTTAGTGGAGCATGCCCCCAAAGGGCATCTCTCACATGAGAACAGGCTGAGAAAACTGGGATTGTTTAGCATGGAATAGAAAAGGCTCAAGTAGTTCTCATTAATGTTTGCAAATACTTGGTTGGAGGGAGTAAATAAGATGGAGCCAGACTCTTCTCAGTGGTGGCCAGAAACAGGAGAAGAGGCAATGGGCAATAACTAAAACACAGGAAATTCCATCGGGAAATAAGGAAACACTTTTTTATTTTCTTCACTGTGAGGGTGGTCTAACAGTGGAACAGGTTGCCAAGAGGTGCTGTCCAGCCTCAACTACTCTGGCACTCTGTGAGCATGTGGCTGTGGCCTCTCTCTGTTCCTGTGACTTCATACCACAAAGTGCAGCCTGTCAATTTGGATGGCAACCACCCCCAAATTCTTTCTGCACCATTTTTTCATGCATTCTTCATTCCTGCAGTATGCTCCACCACCCTCTCAGTTTTTGACCCAGTAAACAAGATTGACATCTCCTTTACTGTAGTCGAGTTTCACATACTAAGCAGGAAGACACTTGAGAGGTTCCTATTTCTATCCATACTATTTTCAGCAATAAAAAAAAATTGTGCGGTAACTGTGACATCATCATGAGAGTTTTTCATAGGTTACTATAAAACTAGATTCACAAATAATCGTTGGATACATCAGATTAGAACTCCTTTCTCCTGTAAATCAGATAGATCACTGAGAACTGCCTTAGTAGGAAAGTGTTGAGGGGAAGAATGTATTCAATTACATCACTCTTCTTTACAATCTCAGTCCCTAAAACAGCATGCCTTTTTCCACACAGGATTCAGAGTCTTGATGTTTCTTGAGCCAGTCACCTTAGCCCTTCCTTTCATTCCAAACTAGAGGAGTAATCCCCTTCCCATCTTATAAGGGCGCCTTATTAACACACAGTCATGCTCTGTTAGACAACAGCCAAATGAATACAACACCAACTGTGATACAGGACTGCCAGGTCCAAATCTACATCTTCTCCACTGTAGGCAGGCTACTTGGCTTGGCTTTTGGTTGCTGGAAGAACACTCTCACCACCATCATCTGTTTCGGTGATTTACAAAGAATTTTGCCAAAAACAAAGTACAGCAGGAGGAATTCTGCTCGTCAATGCAGTCACCAAGGAGCATGGACAGGTTCCAGAGAGCGCTCAGATTACTCACTTATGCATGTTACGCAACAGTCTTAACAGTCTCAACACCCAAAACAGCTAAAAGTGAGTACCCTAAACATTAGGCCAGATTTCATGTTCTCTTTACCTTACTCTTCCAGGTCACAGCCCTATAAACACTTCATTCAGTGCTGTCCAGTAGCACTGCACAAATTGCACGTTAGGATAAAAATGCTTCCTCTCACTGGCCAAAGTCCAAAGCAACATAAAGCGCAATGCCGCTATTCCAGGAAGACAGAAGAGATATGTAGGAGTCCTTTCACTCATAGATTAAACATCATTCTCTCCTGTGAATTAGTGTAATTAATATGTTGTTATATAAAAAAAGAAAACATTATGACCCATTCCTTATGTTTTTTGTTTTTTTCATGAAAGAATTTTGTGCCAGCATGTTCTGTATGAAACTTCCCAGCCTGTAGATAGCTCACAGAGAGAAATAAACCGTATCTATTTCATCAGGCTATAAGACCTATGTGGTACAATAACTCTCATATTGATCCCAAATGTTGTTTGGTGTAACCACTACCTAGATTCTTCAACAATCCCAAAACTGGAAAACTTCCTTGGTCATGGAAATTTCATAGAAAAAGGAAGCCTCTTCAACAGGCATTCTGAAGATCACAGACTTTAGATTCAGATAATTAATTCTCACCCACACCAATAGCCTACATAGGAAGGTAGGGGAAAGTGACCTATGCATTGGTTAGAACAATTTCCTACAGAGAATGCACCTTTAAAACAGGCTTCAAATTGCAACCCAAATGCAAGTGAGTTTTTGGGGGGATTTTCTGTTGTTGTTGTTGTTTGTTGTTTTTTTTTAATAAACACTTCTTTTGTCCCTCTTACAGATAAGGATGTTAAAGAAAAAAATGCATGAAAACTCTCTGAGGGGGAAAAGAAATGAAAATATCTTGTCAGCATTTTGCAAATTTGAAAAATATCAATTAGCTTTCAAACAACGGAGCCAGCAGGCACAGAATTAATCCTGATTTCCTGTTCATACTACCTCATGCCCTCTAAAAGGTTACTAGTGGTGCAGTTTTAGTACCATCAACTAAATGAAATGAGGTCTCTCTGAAGGGTAAGGAAGGCCACCTCCCATGAAGCCCCCAGCTGCTGTCTCCATGACCCCCACCACTGAGGCTGTATCTCAAGCAGGCCTGGGAAATGATTGGGTCAGTCTTCTTTCAATTCTTGTCCTAACCGGGAGACACTGGAGTTCCTTGGTGCTCTAGTTGGGATGAACTAGTGTTTAGTTTGCTTCAAAGGCTGAATCAGATTACAAGATAAGTGGGCATCTCTGAAATGAAAAGAGCTAAAGAAACTGCTACCAGTTGAAATGAAAATGGGGAGGGGAAAGGGGGAAGTTTAGAAACAGGGAGAAGAGAGGGTGGATGAAAGGAACATCGTATCCTTTAGCCCTCATGGGATAACACAGCCCAGACAAACATGTCCGACAGTCTACTGTGTATTATGAGTCTCTGGTGAGAACACGGTACTCTGAAACTCTCCTCCTCTCCCTCATTAAAAAGACAATGGGAAGCTTAACTTTTATAAAGGAGAACACTTTATCTTCCAAACATTACAGTCTTTCCATGTCTAGCAGGAGCTTAATCCCTGGTAGTTTAGATAAATTACCGTGTGCTTCAGCAGGTTGAGGTTAAAACTGAGATTTTCAACTGATTACTAGAAAACAGCCCGTTATCAAGTCCTTACTGAGTAATTTGCAGCTTATTTCACCCTGGCTAATTAAAATGTAATCACTATTGTTTGGCAATGTGCATTCTGTCAGCAGTTTTACGTCGGAAAAGAAATCTTGCCAAGAAAACACAAAAAGCGCTTTTCACCAGGAATTGGCTTGATCTAAACTGCCACTTTAGCCACTGAAACTGTAAAACAAGTAAGTTACAACCGCTTGACAACGCAATAAAACATACTAATCCATTTCCAAGATAATGAACTATTTTAATGGGTACCCTCCTTCAAGGCATCCAGTGAAGAGGAGGCCACCTTGACAGCGAAAACTCCGCAACTCCCGCCCCCAGCGGGCAGAGCAGCCCCTTCCCCACCCGCCTCAGGGTGCACCCCGAGTCTTTTTAGCCCAAACCCGATTAGAGGCACAGGACCCCTCCTACTGCCGTTGAAACAAACGTGCTAAAATTTCCTTTCACACCGACTTCTCGTTTTTAAACCGGGTTATCCGTAAGTATCTCTAGAAGCTGCCCTTCTTGCCAACACCCCTGCCCTGAACACTGCTTTATCCGAAACGTTTGCCCGAGCGGTTCCCGTTTCCAGCCGGCAGGAAAGCACAGGCAGCGCGTTCTCCACTTGGTCCCCTACACGCTGCCGAAAGGTGGGGTCATCCCCTTCCCACCGGGCTGGCCAGCCCTTCCTAAAGGGATTTAGTGCGGAGGGAGGGAGAAGGATGACTGTATAGGAGAGGTTACACGGTTTGGATGGAGTCTGCTGCGTTTAATACTTGCACAGTGTAGAACAGGTGGGGAAGGGAGACGGGAAAGGTGAGTGTAGAACTGGAAGTCGGGAAAGGATAGCCAGATATCCGCTGCTGTTACACCGCCTCCTCCACCGCTTCCAGCGCGGTCGATTTAGGGCCTCGGTCCCCCTAACTTCTTTTTACACACGGCAGGTCTCCCGCCACTTCATTCCCATTTCCCCACTCCCGATAGCCAGAGGTGCGTTCCTCTGATTCAGAAAATAGTTATTCCCACCCTCACCTCCCAGGAAGTCGGAACCAAGTATTACCCTTTCCCTATCACCGTTCTTGACAAATAAGGTCAAACTTCTCCACCAGGCTGGTGAAACGAGTCGCCCACAGGCGCCTGAGTACGACGACCTGCCCGGCCCGTCGGCAGGCGGAGCCCCGCGGGATCGCTCAGCACCACCCGGGAACAAACCGCACCCACGGCCCGGGAGCCCCGCTCTGCGGCCGCCCAGCTCCAGGCATCCCCGGAGGCAGCGGCCAGGGCCCGTCCCGCCGTGCCAGAAGCAGCGGCCGGGAGGGCCAAGCACCTGTAAGGAGCCGGGGCTCAGCAATGCCCAGGACTCAGCCCACCCGCCTGGCGGGCAACTGACAGGCGCGTGGCGGGGTACGGCGTGCCGGGAACCCCTCGATCTTCCGCCCAGCCATGCACAGAGCCCGCCCGGCACCCGCATGCACCGGCGGGTCCTGGAGCTGCCGCAGGGCCGTACCCACCTGCCCGCCGCCGCCTCCGGCTGCCGGCCCCAAGTTAGCCAAGCAGCACCCTGGTCCCCACCGTCCTTTCCGTACTGACCCTGCGCCGGTGCCGACACCAGGGCACCCTCAGCCACCCGCCGGGCGGTCCGGGCGACGGCGATGCGCCCCAGCGTGGCGCCATGCCCCTACCTGGAAATGCTTGAAGAAGGCGGAGATGCGGGTAATTTGGAGGCTCAGGCACCTGGAGGTGCATCTGGCGGTGGAGAAAGCTTCGTCCTGACTGCGGCCGGCAGCGCCGGCCCCCGGCCCGTCGGGGCGGCCGTAGGCGGCCGTTACCCAGAGGAGCAGGGCGAGGGTCGTGCAGGGCGCCCTCCGTACCATCGCTACGCGGAAAAGGAGGGCAGCGGGGCGGCCGGGCGCGGCAGTTACCGGGGTAAGCTCCCTCTCGGCGGGCTGGTGCCGGGCTGTGCTGGGGCCAGACAGCTCCGTGCCGCAGAAACTACACAAGAAAGTTCAATCATTCAACTCTCCTCACCCCCGCCCGTCCCGGCCCACAGCCCTCCCCCGCCCGGCGGCAGGCGGGCCGAGGCTGACAGCGCCCGCGCCATTGGCTGCGCCTAGCGCCAGTGCCGGGGCGGGCGGGACCTGTGGCCTCGGGCAGGTCGGCCCGGCGGGGTCGCCCCTGGCACACGGGGTCCTATGCTCCGCCACCACCTGTGGGGCGCCGGGGCGGGCAGCGGCCAGGGAAGCCGTTTCGCCTGTCCTCACACACACGCGGGTGCGGCGGGGGGGCTCCGTAGCGCCGGACCGGCACCGCGGTGTGACGGGGTTAAGCCGGGTGCTGGCCCCTGCAGTGCCGGAGTGGAGCTTTTCGGCCCAACCCGGCCGTGGCTTTGCGTATCGCCCGGCGGGAGAAGGGGCCGGCCCTTGAAGCTTTGTCTGCGGTAGTCACTTTTATTTCTCTTAAGAAAAAGGACAGGAAGGCACGAACGTACGAAAATTACTTTTTTAAACTCGGTGTTTCCTGCAGAGGAACACCGCGGTGAGCATTTGTCCCAAGGTGAAGCCCATAAAGGCTTCTCCGAAGAGTTATTTAAAAATTCAAATCTACAAGTCATTAGTCCAAATACCTCTGGGTAATAGCTACAAAATTAAATCAGAGCCTTGAGCTTTAAAATGGCTCCCATGCGGTGTACATCTTCAGCTCAAGTCTTTTCAGTCAGTTGCAGGGCCGGGAGCGCACACTGCAGTGTGTACCACAGAGGTTATGTACCACATTCCTCTCTCTGTGTACGTTCTATGGAATCCTCCCGTTGCAAGTATGTGTGCTACCAGAAAGAGCAAGTGGATCTTTTCTTACTGGAGTGTGTGGATTGAGCCTCCCAAATTTAAAAATCCCAAGGTCATATGAATTGAAATAAATTGTCTTCAGATCGTTTGAGGAGTTAATGCTAGATTAGTTAATTACTATAAGTAGTTGTTTAATGTGGTTATCAAACCCTATATTAAACGGTCTGCAGGAGCCTCCTTTACTGGGACAAATTTTAGGATAAATTAAGCACTCATTAGGAAAGTGACTTAAAATCTCGTCAAAGGCCTTCAACTGCTCTGGCTTGTACTAATTTTACATGAATATAATGGGTCTCTCTTTATAGATATCCTTATGTACACAAATCTGAAATAAAGCATATTCCCCAATGTAATTAGTCTATATTCATGCACCTTCAAGACACCAATATATATAAGAAAATCAAAATATGAAAAGGTTTGCTACATCCAAACTACTGAAACAGTAATTAAATTCTAGCTTTAGATTCTAGCTATAATTTTACTATCTTACCACAAAAGGCACAGATTTAAGGGAAGCAGCATTGGTAATGTATAAATATAATAGAAAGCGAGACAATTTATAGTTTAGATATTCCTCTGAAGCTTACAGTGTTTCTTCAGCTGTCCAGAAATCTTCATTTGAAAGGAGCCAATAGGCTAGAATCCCTCCTACAAGTGTGAACAAATTGAGATGACAGTTTGCCCCTTGGATGCTTGAGGGAGCACAGTTGCTAGAAGACGAGATCACCTGCCATGTCCTGGCACACAAGTTCCCTGCTGCTTGCACTGTGTAACCATGTTCTTCCAGCTGTTTTGAAAGTGCCCAGGCTAGGCAAGGAAGACTGTCTCAGCTATGCCTCCAGAAGTCTTCCTCATCTTTTGAGCTGGAGTGACTACCTGCTTCTTGCAGTGAGCATAGGGCATAAGTGGCTTAGAAATGCTGTTTCCAATTCTCACTGATTTCTTACTGCTAGAGAACCAGTTGCTTCACCTAATCCAGCATCCCTATATTTAAAAAAAAAAAAAAAAATGAAAAAAAGAAACCATAATATAGAGCAACACAGAAATAAATGCATAGTCCTAGCAATATTGTGACAAATAATGATGAGCCCATTCAGTCCTCAATATTAAGTTCAGGGATTTCCAGTTTCTAGCTGACTAGCTTTCAAATAGGTTTTCTTAAGCCTTGACTAAAAATTTCACGACTTCTGCCCTGAGTCTGGAAAATTGCTTTACTGATTCATAGTGTTTACAGGTGCACCAAATGCTTTCAACTTTTGCCATATTTTAGCAGATAGTAAGAACTGCTTGAAAAAATGTGTAGCTATCTGTAAATCAGATTCAAATCTAGAGAGGGCAGGTGGTTCTGTGGATACATCCCCTCCGTGTTAGTACTAATGCAATTTATGTTGTCTATTATAAACCCCAGCTGTAAGTAAAAGGTTACAAATCATGTTTCTTTTGTTTTATAAAGTCTGGTAGCAAAGGGCACAGAGCCCTTAATAATTAAAATGTTTCTGAATACACAGTTTACTCAGTTTGCTTTTGTTTGAAATGTAGTGGTTACAGAGACCATCAGCACAGCCTGTGAATTCCTTTTTAGTGAGAACTGACTTGGTTTGCACACAAAAGACTGCCTGTTCAGTTCCAGTAAAACTGTATTCACACAGATCCTGTTCCCTTACATGGAGATTAAGAAACAGGGTCAGTAGCGCAAGAATTTAGTAGGTGATTAAAATTCACTGTGGTCTTAATCCGATAGACAAGATACACAAGTTTGTAAATATCCCTATTTTAAAGAGGTTAATAAATGAGTTGTAGGATATAGAATTTTGGAAATAAATAATATGTATCATCCAGTGAATTTTAAAGGTAATTCTGTTCCATAGCCACATAAATAGACATATAGATGCATTCGTATATTTTGCTCACCAACTCTTTTTTTTGTCTTCAGTAAATGACATTAAATAATCTTTTAGCATTAGAAGCAGTAGAATTAGTACCAACAGATTCCTGCAAGTTCAGAGTGTTGGTCTTATGATAAAAATACAGTGATTATTTTCCTGCCTGTGCTTCAGAACAACCTGATAATGTAAAAAACGAGCTTTTCTGAAGCCAAGCTTTGCGGAGCTCCGGGCTGTTTTTACAGGAGACAGCGCCACATGCTGGTTTTGTGAGGTGAGAGCTTCTGGGCTCTGTACTGATTTAGTTCTGTTTAATTACTTTGGTTTAATCGATTTTAAATTAAGATGACTGCATCTTAAGCAATCACTTATTATTCTAAAGGGAACTCCCAATATTAGGTTCTAATTTCAGATAAACAAATAACGTCTATATTTTTAATGTTAAAAGTATTTATTGTTTTCATCTAAACCACTGTATTCTAGCTCACTGATTTAGTTTATTATATTAAATCATCCTAATGTGACATTCTTTACTTAGTTCTCTTCAGCTTTAATTATTTTATGTCAAAAATGATTATAACTCTGGGCACAACATAATCCCCCAAACCCTTTCCAGCAACTCAACATGCTGGAGTGCCTGCATACTAATGGGGAGTAGACATGATAAATCAGAGATCTGTGTGCAACTGCAGGGCTACAATCTTGTCAGGATCACAGAGACATGGTGGGATGGCTCCCATGACTGGAGTGCTGCAGTAGAAAAATATAGGCCCTATAAGAAGGTCAAGAAAACAAGGAGGGGGAGTTGCCGTTATGTAAGAAAGCAGCTGGAGCGTATGAAACTATTCCTGAGGATGGGTGAGGAGCCAGATTAGCACCTAAGAGTAGCAATAAAAATTGGACAGATAAAGGTGACATTATAATGGGTGTCTGCTATAGGCCACCTGACCAGAAAGAACAATGGATAAGTGGGTGAGGCTCTCTACAGACAGGTGGGAGCAGCCTCATATTCATAGGGCCTCATGTTTATGAGAGACTTCAACCACCCCAATATAGATAGAGGGACAACACAGCAGGGCATAAGCAATCTAGGAGTTTCCTGGAGTGCATTGTTGATAACTTCCTCCTCTGAGTGATAGAGGAGCCAGCAAGGAGAGGTAATCTGCTGGACTTCATACCAATATGCAGGGCTGTTTGGGATATGAAAGTCAAAGGCACCGTTGGAAGCAGGGAGCATAAGATGGTGGAGTTCAGAATCTTGAGGGCAGGAAGCAGGTAGAACCCAGAATTTCAGGAGAACAGACTTTGCCCTCTTCAAAGATCTGTGTGGAAGTCTTGGAGGGAGGAAAAGAAATCTGGTTAATATTCAAAGGTCACTTCCTTCAAGCTCAATAGCAGTCCATCCCAATGAATAGGAAGTCACGCAAAAACACCAGAAGGCCTGCATGGATGAACAAGGACTCCTAGCAAACACAGAAATAAACCATACAGAGTGTGGAAGCAGGGACTGCTAAACTGGGAGGAACACAGAAGCATTGAGCATCCAGGGATGAAGCTAGAAAAAGCTAAAGCTCAAATGCAGTTTAATTTTCCCAGTGACATCAAGGACAACAAGAAGGGCTTCTGTAAGTACATGGGAGACAAAAAGAATACTAGGGAAAATATGGACCCATTGCTCAACAAGAAAAGGGACTTTGTTAAACAGGAAATGGAAAAGGCTGAGGTACTGAATGCCTTCTTTACCTCAGTCTTTATTAGCATGACCAGCCTTCAGGAATGCCAGGTCCCAGAGACCAGAGGGAAGGGTTGGACAAGGGAAGATGTACCCTTGATGGAAGATCATCAGGTCAGGGAGTACTTAAACTGAACATGAATAAATCCATGGGCCCTGATGGGATGCACCCATGAATGCTGAGTGAGCTGGTAGATGTCATTGTGAGACTGCTTTTTAAACTTTGATCAGTGATAGCCATTAGGGGAAGTGTCCAAAGACTGGAGGAAAGCAAATGTGATCCCTATTTTCAGGAAGGGAAAGAAAGAGGACCCAAAGAACGATGGGCCAGTCAGCCTCACCTTCATCCCTGGGAAGGTGATGGAGCAGCTAATCTAGAAATACATTTCTGGGCACATTGAGGACAAACAAGTCATCAGGAGTAGTCATCATGGCTGTGCCAAGGGGAAGCCTGGTTTGACCAGCTTGATAAACTTCACTGATGAAGTAACTGACCTGACTGATGAGGGGAGAACAGTGGATGTTGTCTCTCTGGACTACAGTAAGGCCTTTGACACTATCTCCTATAAGATCCTTACAGACAAGGTTTTGGTGTATGGGCTGCATGGGGAGATAGTGAGGTGGGTTGAAAACGGGCTGAATGGCTAGGCCAAGAGAGTGGTGACCAGTGGCACAAAGTCTAGTTGGACAGCAGTGACAAGGGATGTATCCCAGAGGTCAGAATTGAGTCCAGCCCTGTTTAACATCTTCATTACTGACCTAGGTGATGAGACGGAGTGTATCCTTACAAAGTTTGCTGATGACACTAAACAGGGAGGAGTGGCTGACATGCCAGTGGATCACGCTCCCATCCAGAAGGACCTCAACAGGCTGGAGAAAGGGGTTGACAGGATCCTTATGCAGTTCAACAAGGGGCGTTCTGCACCGGGGGAGGAACAAACCCATGAATTAATATGTATGTTCAGGACCACCTATCTGGAAAACATCTTGGCAGAAAAGGTCATGGGGGGCCCTGGTGGACACCAAGCTGAACATGAGCCAGTAGTGTTCCCCTGCAGAAAAGAATGCTAATGTTATCCTGGTCTGCATTAGGCAAAGTATTGCAAACAGAACAAGGGAGGTCATCTTTCCCTTCTCGTTAGCAATGAGGCCACAGCTGGAGTCCTGTGTCCAGTACAAGACAAGGACATGCTAGAGAGACCCCAGTAAAGGGTCATGAAGATGGCAAAAGGACTGGAAACTTACTTTCTCTGAGGAGAAGCTGAGAGAGCTGGCAACATTTAGCCTACAGAAGAGAAGACTGAGATCTAACCTTATATATAAAAACCTGAAGGGAGGGTACAAAGAAGATGGAGCCAGGCTCTTTTCTGTGGTGCCCAGTGACAGAACCAAAGGCAGTGGTCACAAACTGAAGCTCAGGAGGTTCCCTATATATGAGCTATACAATAATGTAGAAATAATATTAGATATGTTTTAATCTATTTTAGCTGTATGTATAGACTTAATAAAGGTTTGGGAGATGGCTGGCTTACCTGTGATTTTTTGATTGTGATTTCTTGCTAGAAGCAGTTCACCCAAGAAACTGCAGTAACTAGAACTCTGCTAGATACTGGTCTTCTTTAATTTTCTGTCTGAGTTTTGAATCCAGCCTATGTCTGCTGTGGTTTGCTGCTGCTCAAGGCAAGCTGAAAGCATTTACCATGGCAAATGAAGTGATTTTGAAAGATACTTCCACAAAATCATTTCCTTCTGAAAGTAAAACAATGGAAGCCAGAACTGACATGGAAAGAAGAATGAACTTGTGCCAGAAATTATGCAGTTTGTGGACAAACCTTATGACTGTGAACAGGATGACGAAATAGACTTTCTTATGGCTTTGAATGTTTTTTCGAGGACCAAGCACAACTCTGTTCCTGTGGTAAAGGCCCCATAGTACATTTTTTTTCTCCTGGGCTCTTATAGGCTCTTACAGCATTCTTTCCACCACCATGAAGTTAATGAACTTCTCAAACTTCTTTTCAGAAATAGGACTTTGCATAGTCCTAACTCAAGCTTGTGAATAAAATCCAGAAATCTGTCTCTGTGTCTCACATAGCCGATATTATTAATTTTAAGATGTAGAATTGCAGTCCCTATATATATACTTTTTCCCAGGAGCAAATCGATAGGAATCTTCTGAGTCACTCTTTTTAGTACTAGTAGTACAGTACTAGTAGGAGTACTAGTAGTACAGTTAACAGTTATAGTAGAAGGCAGTATGAAATAAGAGTTCAAAAATCTCATCATCTGTATATAAACCAAGAGACAACAGATGCCTCTTCCAAATCCAAAGATTGCTGGGGAAGCGCAGGAAACCAATTAGGTCATTTTGAAACACATGGTAGGCCTCATTGCATGTGTAAGGAACACAAGAACAGTGAGGTCTGAGGAGGGGTTTGAAGCAAAATGATGGGATGGCTTTAGAGATGTTCACTGAGCACTTTTCCCAAGAAGAAACATAACAGAAAGCACAAGGTGCTTATTTTGAAATGTAAGAAATGAAAAATAAATACTGACATCATTGGTTTACTATAAGAAGGAATGGAATTTTCACTATTGAACTCATACTTAGTGCTCTGTGTCTTAGTACAATGTGGAAGAGAAACAGATTCAGAAATACAAAGAGAAAAGAGATGACTAAACCAGAAGGCTTGGAGAGCACCTTTTGCTCTGTTGACAAATAAAAATTTGCTATTATATCAAGAGCATAGAAGTCACGGTGTTTAAGTTGGAAAACAATAAGAGTTTAGCTACATGAATGAATAGAAAGGATTGAATATTAGAGACATTATGCCAAAGAATACAGATTTAAACAAACTTTGATTTTCAAGATGTGGAGATCAACGTCCGAGAATCAAAGATGGTGCCCAAAAATTCTCCACAAGGTGGTTTCGTCTACAATGCCAAAGAAAGGAGACAAAACACGACAAATTAGGAACATAAAGAAAGAGACACCCATAAAGAAAGGTCAGAGGCAAAAATGCTGTTAGCTGAATTAATCTATTTATTTCCTCCCAAGGGCTCTCATCTTCTTCAAGGTCACACAGAATAGGACAAAGCCAAGGCCTCAATTGCCCCAAATCTGTGTCTTCAGCTAGTTTGCAAAAATAAGTTTTCCAATAAAAATATATCTTACTGGCATGTTCACAGCTGTCTCGTGTAATTCCAGTCATTTGGTCTGATTTCTTGTTTCAAACAGACCATAATTCTGTCTTGTGTTTTGTATATCCCATACTTAGGATTGAAATGAAGCATGTTTTTAAACAGGCACCCACTTGTTAAATTAGAAGAGAAAACAATCTAGAAATCAACACAGCTTTGGAGAAGTTTGGGTTTTTTTGTGGTTGTTTTACTCTATAAATGTGTACCTCAATTCTAACCAACTGCAGTGTTTCTTAATGTTTAGACATTGATCTTTTTCCACCATTTCCATAGATGAAGACTGTCTTTCATGTTGAAATCCACCTGAAGATAGAGACAGAATCATAGAATCATAGAATAGATAGGGTTGAAAAGGACCTTAAAATCATGTAGTTCCAACCGCCTGCCATGGACAGGGACATCTCACACTAAACCATGTCACCCAAGGCCTTGTCCAACCTGGCCTTCCACAGCGCCAGGGATGGAGCATTCACAGCCTCCCTGGGCCACCCATTCCAGTGCCTCACCACCCTAACAGGAAAGAATTTCCTCCTTATATCCAATCTAAACTTCCCCTGTTTAAGTTTTAACCTGTTACCCCTTGTCCCATTGCTACTGTCCCTAATGAAGAGTCCCTCCCCAGCATCCCTATAGGCCCCCTTCAGATACTGGAAGGCTGCTATGAGGTCTCCATGCAGCCTTCTCTTCTCCAGGCTGAACAGCCCCAACTTTCTCAGCCTATCTTCATATGGGAGGTGCTCCAGTCCCCTGATCATCCTCATGGCCCTTCTGTGGACTTCTTCCAACAAATCCATGTCCTTTTTATGTTGAAGACACCAGAACTGCACACAGTACTCCAAGTGAGGTCTCACGAGAGCAGAGTAGAAGGGTAGGATCACCTCCTTTGACCTGCTGGTCACGCTCCTTTTGATGCAGCCCAGGATGAGAGTTGTTTTTGCCTAATCAGAACTTTGAGTTTACCTATAAACACAGTGCTGTCCTTAATACTTCTCCATATATAGAATAAAGACCTGGTTTACATCTTGTTACAGATGTGCAACTTTCCAGTGTATCTGTATCTCTTAATATGAATTCCAAGATTTTATTTGAGATTTTGCCTTATCTTACAGTGAAAGCTTTGAAACCCTTTCATCAGATACCTTTCTACAAAAAGCTGCTCATTTTTTACTGTCAGACTCAGCATTCTTGTCTGGAGAACTTACCTGACCATGAATCACACTATAAAAGCTGATTTCACTACCATCTTGCTCATTTGTTGCTATAATGGGAAGCACCTATGGAAAATAGTGAAGGAAGTTACATGTCCACTGTGAAACAAGAACCTTAGCTGAGGCTGCCCAGCTCGTAAACACTCAACCAGCAAATACCGGCTGTAAGTAAGGTATGACATGCTGAAACTCCGAGATCAAGAGCAACAACTCTGAGAGCCAATAAATCAGCATTGTGATGAATGACTCTTCATCCAAAACAATAAATGCTTATCACAAATACGATTAAACACACTGGTCAGATCTGTCGTTATCTCAACCCTTCGTGCCACACATTGGGTGCCAAAAAGGAACTGTCCTGGTTTAAGCCCAGCTGGTAACCCAGGACCACGCAGCCACGTGCTTCCTCCCCACCCTTCCTCCCCCTCGCTCCTGGAGGGATGGGGAGGAGAATCGAAAGAATGTAACTCCCACGGGTTGAGATAAACTACAGTTTAGTAACTACGGTATAACACAAACCACTGCTGCTACCACCAATAATAATGATGATAAGGGAAATAACAAGGGAAGAGAATACAACTGCTCACCACCAACCGAACAATACCGAGCCTGACCCATGCAGTGATCTAGCCCTTCCAGGTAACTGCCTCCAGTTTACATCCTGGGCATGATGTACTGTGGTATGGAATACCTCTTTGGCTAGTTTGGGTCAGGTGTCCTGTCTCTGCTTCCTCCCGGCTTCCCCTCCTCCGTGGCAGAACATGAGACTCAGAAAGTCCTTAGTCAGACTAAACATCACTGAGCAGCAACTAAAAACATCGGTGTTATCAGTACTGTTCCCAGGCTGGAAGGCAAAACCCCAGCACTGCACCAGCTACTAAGGAGAAGAATGACTGCTGCTGCTGAACCCAGGACAGTCCCTTTCAACCCAAACCAGTCTATGAAGATAAATATGGGCTATAAGGGGCAGTTACTTGCAGAACACCATTAAGTCCTTTTATATATAAACCAGACTCAGGTTTCTTTGTGAAGTTTTGCTGTATTGCAGATATTTTAAACCTGTTCTTTTTTTTTTACAGAAAATTTTCAGCCTTGAGGTGTATACCTTAGGATTGGACATGGTATTCTAGTAATTGTGTCAATAATACCATACAGATGTAATATGATACCTGCAGTCTGCCTTATTGGTCCTAACCTTATATAGTTAGTCATTCTATTACACTGGAAGCTCATGTTCAGTTGATTACTTTCATAGGCTTTCATAGATACAGGCTTTCCAAGAAACTTTTTTGTGTCCTGTGTGTGTGACATACTTTCTGTGTTCCTACGTGTACAGTCTTAAATTCATTAAAATGCATGACATTTAAACATGAATTCAGATTACTGAGTGATTGAGAATTCTCTATATATTATTTATCACTTAAGTCAATAATCATGCCATATGGAAACTTCTTAAGAAGTGATTTTATTATGTGCTTCTAGATTACCTATACATGAACTAAATAACACTGAGTCAAGAACAGACATTACCGAACTCACAAATTTCCGTTATGATTTCCCATTTACAATTAGTTTTGGAGATGGTATAGTTATCACAGGTTTGGTTTTTTTTTTTCCAATCTGGATAACACAAATGTTTTACATTGATTATTGCTGAAAGACAAATTTTAGTTGGAAAGTCACATTGTAATAAGCCAAATTATATGGGTTTGACATAGTCTTTGACAGTCAGATTTGTAATTGGCTCAAAAGACAATGTCAGATTTGCTTTGTGTATGTGTATGAAAAGTATTTTCATGCATTTATTAGTTTATTTTGAAGCCATACTTGCTATTGCTGCTTTTGCCAAGGAGAAGCAGACCTGTCAAGGTGAAGGCCCTCTTGGGCTAGGCTGTACAAAGAGTCAAACAATACATGTGGAGTCTGAATGGAATATGTGACACAGTTTAATTTCTTTCTTTTTTAATTAGCCTCAATCTTAAGCAACTACCCAGGCTGTTACACAACATAGATCAATTCTTCTCAATTTACATCACTGCATAATTTTAATATCATATATCCTTCAAGATTCATTTGTTTATTTGCAAAATATTTAAGAAAACAGTGTTCAGGGTGACAGAACTGCAATGTAATTAATTGATCCTTTATGAACAAATGACTATGAAGTCTTAATATTCCTGTTTGATGTCTACAATAACAACTTTGGTACAGAAAATAGATAAGGGTAAGGCATGGTGTATAAAAATATTCTGTGTACCCTTGAATTAAGCTGAAACCTGTTGATGTGCTTGAGAGGTTGTTGTTTGTGCACTGTGTCCTTCAACCTAAAATAATACCGAGAGTGATAGAATGAAAAATGACTACAATTAAGAAGAAGCTGAACCTGCAAATTTGCTTTCATAGATTTTCCTGCTCTGTGTTGCAAATGTTAAGATTTAAAATATAGAATAATTCAGACTTCTGTTGTTTGCAGTTCTCTCTTCAAGGTTAATTAACTTTTGAACTAATAGAATGAAAATCCATAATAACATGTTTGCTTTTATCCCCAATCTTTTATTAATTGTACTAAAAATTATTATATGTACCTGTGGTTTTGCATGTGCAGATAGACACATATGTGATGTCAGTACTAATACCCTCTTTCCCATGTCTGTGCCAGTCCATGAGTCCTCAGCACGCATTGGTACCTGTGAGTCTTCCTTTTCAGTTGCAGTTCTCTATTTCATGAGGTACCTGTTGGCCCCTTCCTCCAGCCTGCCTGGGTCCCTTTGGATGGCAGCCTGATCTCCAGCATGTTTACTCTTCTCCCCAGTTTGAAGTCATCTGCAGACTTGATGAGACTGCACTCCATTACCACCTCCAGATCACTGATAAAGATGTTGAATTCTAATTAAAATTCTCTCAGGTAAAGAATGCTTTGAAAAGAAAAAGTGGAGCAGTTTGATACTTTCACTAAAGCATCTCCTGTCTGTGTTTGTAGCAACGCCTTTTGATAAAGGAAAAATAAAAATAAAAATAAAAATGAGCAGTGTTCCAAATACACCAAAATCAGTTCTTGGTATTGATTTTAAGAATAATGAAATATTTCAGGTTTGTTGTTTTTTTTTACTGTCACAAGACAGGGGTAGTGCTATAGGTGAATATGCTTATGATGATATGCCATGAACTGATAACTATAAAAATAAAACAGTATCAATTATGCAAATCTACCAAATTAACAACAACAACAAGAAATTCTTACAGTTTGGGTTGGGGAGTATTTTATTTTAGTTAAGCAAAAATTGCCCCAAGTGATATGTTTTCAACATTTTTTTTAGGAGACATTTTGAAGTTTAGTTCCAAATCAGAATCAAACCCTTTTTTGAAGTACTACATTTTCAATTTAAATTAGAACACCAAGAATTTAAAAGGTGTTTCCTCAGTCTTTTCAAAAGCTGTTAAATAGTTTTAATGTCTAGAAAAAGAGGTGCATATCTTGTATCTTGGTGATCTGGAGCGAGATGAATCCTCTGAGAATGTTTGCTTTTTCTACTACTTTTTAAACTTCTCTAATTTAATTGTGAGGTTGGACTGATGTTAAACTGATCTTGATGTTGAACTGTTTTTTTATACCTTTTCCCACTTGTATCAGGTCGATTTCTAGAATCATAGAATGGTTAGGGTTGGAAGTGACCTTAAAGTTCATCTAGTTCCAAACCCCCTGCTATGGGCACCAACACCTCCCACTAGATCAGGTTGCTCAAAGCTGCATCCAACCTGGTCTTGA